CCTCCCTCCCGCCCTCCCTCCCTCTCTCTCTCTCTCTCTCTCTCTCTGTTTCCTGTGTGCACTCCGAGGTCACCTGCCCCTCTCGCCCGGTCCAGACAGCAGCTTTGGCCTCCAGTCTGGCAGTGCTTCGCAGTAGCTCTAAAACAGAGGCTGCGGTAGGAAGATCCTGAGGCAGTGGGGAGAAGCAGGACTGGAGAGATGTTGTCCTGTCTCACTGGGCTTCAGAGACCAATTTCAGGGAGCCAATACAGTTGGAGGCTGGATAACATACGCTTTGGAGGGCTCTGTGTCTGATGCTCAAGCTGACCCACATAGCATGAGGAGGCCCTGGACCAAGGTGAACTCAGAAGCTTCTTAATGAGCAGAGAATGAGCCAGAGCGTGGCCCAGACATGATGATCAAACACTACAGCGATCGTCGCTGACAGTGATGTCGAGACATGTGGAACAGAGAAGCCTCCAGAGCCCCGGGCTCTAGGACTATGGGCTTTACGTTCTGAAGTGTTGAGGATGGCACCTAGGGCCTGGCACACGGGAGACAGGTCCTCTACTCCCGAGCCTCAACCAGTGCCTAGCGATCTGTAATAAAGATATATGTGCCATAGGGATATGAAGCTTGCTACTAATAATGGGGAAAAAAGTCAGAAGTCAGTTTCCAAATGTATTTACAACACACACAAAACATCATCTCAACATGTCATTAGTATAAACACTGTTGATTGATGCATATCATCTTTATACAACATCTTCTAACTCTGGGGTATATTTCAGTTACTCAGTTTGCATACTAAATTTCTGTAGACAATATTTTATCTCCATTTGGATTTCATACAACTTTGAGTTGGGACAGAAGGTTTGCACTTGTTTCAAACATATACAGTCATTCCAGTCTGGAGCTGGAGAGACGGCCCCGTGGTTAAGATCACTTGTTATTAAGAAGACTAGATTTCGGGTTCCAGTGCCCACATCAGGAGGCTGACAACTGCCTGGGACTCCAATTCAAGGAAGAGTCAGTGTCCTCTTCTTGTCCTTATGGGTCCTGCACACAATTGTCACTTAGACAAGTATGTCTATATATGTCACAAAAAATTCCCACACCACAGACATACAGGCATATATGCATACAGGCATACACACACCCTCAAACTTCTGATCCTCCTGCCTCAGCCTTGTGAGTGATGAGATTACAGGAGTAATTACTTCCATACTTGGCAATTTTAAGTATTTTAAAAAATTTTTATAGATTCTTTGTGAATTTTACATCATGCACCCTAAGCCCACATTGCCCTGTCCCTTCAGATCTGCCCTATGTCCTTGCAACCTCCCTCACACAGGACACAATAAATAAAAACAAACGACAGACTCTCACCACCTCGGAAGCTATGGTGTGTTACATAGCATACCCATTTGCCCAGATAGCTCTACTTGCCAGTGTTCATTGCAGTAAGTCATTGGTCTGGCTTGAGGCCTCTGGCTTCTGCTACATTATCTATATATATGGATCCTCACCAGAACTCTGCTTTGACACTCTGTTGCTCTGTGTGCATCCTTTAGCTTTGTATCTGCAGGACCAGCCCCTTCATACACTCCAGCAGTTCACAGATGCGGTGAATGTTGGGGTGAGTCAGCTCAGAGCCCTGGATCTGGGCCTGAGTGGAAGCTGAGCTGGTCAGCCTGCCAGCTCTCCTACACCTGTGCCACCAGGGCCAGTTCTCCTTCTAATTTTCATTTTTTTCAAACCTTATTTTTAATGATGGTTCCTTTTTTTGTTTTGTTTTTATTTGTTTGTTTGTTTTTGTTTTTTGAGACAGGGTTTCTCTGTGGAGCCCTGGATGTCCTGGAACTCACTCTGTAGACCAGGCTGGCCTCGAACTCAGAAATCCATCTGGCTCTGCCTCCCAAGTGCTGGGATTAAAGGCGTGCGCCACCACTGCCCGGCTTAATGATGGTTCTTAAACACTTTAATCTCCCTTTTAGCCCACCACCCAGCAGAGGTAGTGGGGGAAAAAGTATATGGGGGAAGTGGCCCTGTTTAGAAAGGGTTTTTTTTTTTTTGAGTAATTCCTGTCTGTGTTGTCTGGGAATCGGCAGTTCAATTCATAGGTCAGCAGTGGCAGCTCGATCCACTCGCAAACACTTCACGGATACAACAGCAGTCCAATTCGGTAGAGACGAGATAGCAAACATGAATCAGTAGAGGTGGCATTGCCTAGCAGAGACAACTAGGCCTCAGCCACAGCGTGAGTCAGCAGAGAAGTTCTTGTCTGTGCCTCTCTCAGAGAAGCAGAGATCAGCCTCCAGACCCACAAGTGTTGCATAGCTAGCTCTATAAGGAAGCCAAGCTCAGTTTCCATGTGCATGTGGGTTTTCCATTGGTTTTGTCATTATTAAAGACCAGTCTTATTCCGTGGTGATCTGATAAGATGCAAGGGATTATTTCAATCTTTTTGTATCTGTAGAGGCCTGCTTTGTGACCAATTATATGGTCTATTTTGGAGAAGGTACCATGAGGTGCTGAGAAAAAGGTATATTCTTTTGTTTTAGGATGAAATGTTCTACAGATGTCTGTTAAGTCCATTTGGTTCATAACTTCTGTTAATGTCAAAGTGTCTCGGTTTAGTTTCTGTTTCCATGATCTGTCCATTGCTGAGAGTGGGGTGTTGATATCCCCCACTATTATTGTATGAGGTGTAATGTGTGTTTTGAGCTTTAGTAAAGTTTCTTTTATGTATGTAGGTGCCCTTGCATTTGGAGCATAGATGTTCAGAATTGAGAGTTTACCTTGGTAGATTTTTCCTTTCCAAACCCCACAAAGACACAACAAAGAAAGAGAACTTCAGACCAATCTCCCTTATGAACATCGATGCAAAAATACTCAATAAGATTCTAGCAAACCGAATCCAAGAACACATCAAAACAATCATCCATCATGATCAAGTAGGTTTTATCCCAGGAATGCAGGGATGGTTCAATATTCGGAAATCCATCAATGTAATCCACTATATAAGCAAACTCAAAGAAAAAAACCACATGATCATCTCACTAGATGCTGAGAAAGCATTTGATAAAATTCAACATCCCTTCATGATAAAAGTCTTGGAAAGATCAGGAATTCAAGGCCCATACCTAAACACAGTAAAAGCAATTTACAGCAAACCAGTAGCCAACATCAAGCTAAATGGAGAGAAAC